CAGCATTGATTTGAACTCCAGCAGAGAAAGGAAACTCAGCCGACAATTTAGGTTTTTTTTTATTACTGAGCTCTTCTTATAAGGTTTTGTCCCCACAGCCTGCAAATACGTAACTGACACCTTCACCTGTTGCCTGTTCATCCCAATGCCTGCAAAAACATGGGCAACTAGCTTTGGTAGCGCATATGTTAATAAGCTGAACTAATATAGACTTTGTGTAAAATTGGTGTAAAAACATTAGGTTGATGTCTAAAAATAAAATAAAAATGTACAAATAAAATAAACAATTTAAAATCAGTTTTAAAACGTTAAGCCAATCATACCTGATTATATATTTAAACATTCAATTCTTCCAGATCAAATGCACAAGAAACATCAAATTTCCAGAATTATTTCAATTTACTTTTTTTCTTTAGCAAGTAAATTTAAATATATAGGTTGTTTAGTGTGTTGTTTGGGTGATTTATAATCAAGTTTTAATATTAATTATTAAATATTAAAACTTTACATGAGAAGATTAGTCTTTAAAATGCAAAAATAATTCTGTAAAACAAATGGTTTTGTCCAATTTGTTACATCTCTTGTGAATCCCATTGTCTTCTATGATTATTTTTCTTTCATATGATTCCAAAAGTTTGATAATTTAGGAAAAAAATCTCAGCTAAAAAAAAAAAGATATTAGCCAGCACTGTAACAGAGTATACCAAGGGTACAGCTCAGGTTGACAGCTTCTGACACAAAGTCAGAGAAGCAAGGCAGACATGGCTTGAACATTTGTGGAGGCAGGTTAGTGGATATATTGGTGAAAAGGTGTTGAATATGAAGCTGCCATGGAAAAGGAGAAGAGAAAAACCACATAAAAAGGTGCATGGGTGTAGTGAAGAGGGATATTCAAAGATTGGTGTGACAGAGGAGTGTGCTGCAGGCGGGTTCAGATGGAAATGGAGGATGTGTTGTGGCGACCCCTCAACAGTGCAGCTAAGAGAATAAAAAATTGCCAGAATTGTTCCTATTTTGTGTTTTCCCTTGTTATAATAAGAAAATTTATGTCGATCGGATCACAAACGAGAAAAGAAAAAAAAACCCAACAATAAATAAACAAAGAAGCTACCACCATCCACGGAATAAAAAAAAAAAAAAAAAAAGCAGGCGGCACATTATCTCAACTTCTGCATCCAGTTCATGTTGGTTTAAAGTGAAAACATGAATCACTGCCCTCAGGGACGTTATTGTATTTTTTTTTTAAAGTCGCTCATAAAATGAGGTTTATTTAAAAGGACTAGTTTGTGCTCTCCGATGTTTTCTAGTCCTACAGAATCTATTTTCAGGCTCAGCCACCACTATTTACTCTCCGAGCTGCTCCGTCAGTACAAGCAGCAGGCTAGGAGAAGAGACTCTGGACCTTCAACTGTATTTGCCTGGAGGTCTTGCTTAAACAGGAAGAGAATATATTGTGATACTCTGGCAGAGGAAGTAAAGGTTGAGGGCAGCCAACATCTGTATACAGAAAAAAACCTTGCTATAGCGCTGGCGTTTTTGAGAATATATTGTATTGACCTGACATCGTAACCTTTTGAAGCACAAATGCAGACCAGATTTATTAATAACATTTCAATAATAAAAACTTCACTAAATATAAAGGCATAAAACAAGTCACTTTTTCATATCTTTTTCTCCTATAGTTTTTTTATTCAAACTAATTCAAAGAGCTGAAGTTCTACAGAAAAATACAACACAAACACAAGAGATTAGTTACATCTATGTGGTTCAGTAAAACTGATATTGAAACAAATTTACTTGAAAAATTATAAATATATTACTTTCGGATCATTTTTTGAATTTTGAAAACATTTATTTGTTAAACCAAGCAAGATCTATAAAATTGCCCCGTCTTACGTGTTTCTTACTGAATCCTTCAAAAGACGACTGCACATATTTTTTAATGCTCCCAAAAGCAACATTAGGGAGCATAACAGGGAGCTAATTAAACATTTCAAGTATAAATATGTTTTTACCTAAGAATTTGGTTATATTGAGTTGCTTAATATCATTCACAAAAGAAGGACATGAAAATAAATCACTTATTTTTCTATTCATCAAAACTTACTATTGGGTCCACAAAAGGAACCCAATAGCAAGTGGTTCAGAATTTTATTTAATTTTTTTTTAAATATCTGAATTGATGTATACATGGGGAAAACCTTGAAATTCCTTCATTACTGCTAGAATATAAAAGATACTCAAAACTGTACCATGCTGACAAGAAAAAGTCTAATTGGTACAAAATTATGCAATCCCAGAAGCTACTTCATAGAACCGTCCTCCGAACACTTTTACAAATAAAATGAAAAGATATACATAATTTAATATTTCATTTAATAATTCAGTTTTGTGTGGATCTTTACTAATATTCACAGAAGTATCAGAGTTTGAATCAACCAATTATTCAGCTCACTTAAACCTGTTTACTAAATCAAAAAATGCATTTGACACTGTGCTAGATTCTGTAAGAAAATCAAAGCACACACTGCTGGTTGATCAGCAGTGTGTGCTTTGATTTTTTTTTTTGTTCTTTTTAACGTTATAATTTTTTATGCATAAAAATAATCTTACAGTTGGATTTAAAACTTTTACCACTCTCAAAGAAGCTGCACCACATTTGTGTTTTATTGTCACAGTCGTTAGAAAACAGACAAAAAGTAAACAGTCAAAATTGCAATTGTTAGGTCAGTCCTTTAAAAAAAAATTCTAATCAGTACTGGCCAGAAAAGTTGTGATAAGTGTAACTCTAAATCCAATGAATACTAGCAATTTGTAGTTCTCACAATTCTCCAATGTATCTTCACAATGTGGTAGCTTTAAAACAAGCTCCTACCATTCTAAAGCTTCTCAGAAAGTAAGACATCTACTAGAAACAGTCCTAGTTATGTCTTTTTAAATACCTGAAAAAAAGTAAGGAGACTAACTCTGAGCCTTTCACTAGTTTTATCTTGACTTTGTTTTTACAGCATTAAAGGAATATTTTTAAATCCCTTGCTTCCCCATTGGAGTTTAAAGCTGATCTGTTCCACACAGAATTTAGTCAAGATAAAGAATGAAAGGTTAGCCATGAGAAAAACGCGCACTTATGCTCATCACGTTTACTCCACTAAATTCTGAGTAAACAGAGAGCCCTAATGAACACAGCATGTCTAAGTCAAGCTCCAAGAAATCCATCAAACACACTTTTTCGACTCTATCTGGATGAAAGTATTACTTTGAGGAGTGAAGGGGGGCATATCGCAATGCTTAGCAATCCTAATCCGCAGCACACTTGCAAGAGGTTTCATCACCAACATTCCCTCCCTATTCCAAAAGGAGAGGGCTGAAAAAAAAAATATTGATCTTTTCCCTTCCTTCCTCCAAGCCATTTCTATTTCCCTGTGCAGCTTAAGCAGCACTTTTGTGGACAAATCCTGCATTTGTGTTCCTTTCTGGAGGCTAATAATTGTCCTGAATAGGCGTAACGACTCCCAAAGCGCAGCTGAGTTGGCTGTACAGTGGTGTTGGTGGCCAGACTGTACCTCTGTGCACAGCTAAGTCTTGCTTCGTGTTTCATCAACCTCACATATCCTCTTCCACCCTCCGCCGCCTGCCCACTACAAGCAACGCCACTGGGTATAAGTTGTGCACTCAGTTCACCTCTACAATACCTAGCTTTATTTTATCCTCACCACCTCAATGAAAGAGGAGATAAATCTAAGAGCTCATCTCCGCCATTCTCTGCCTCCGTCCGACGCTTATATGGACCATCATCTTTCCTCGTTACCTGCAGAGAGAGGCAGGGCAATGGGCATTACGCTTTATTGCAAAGCCAAGCTTCTGATGTACGATTGCCCTGTCTGCTAAACACACTTCAATGCGCTCCCCCTCTCTTGCATGAACAGAGATGATGAAATAAGTTGGGATATCTGTGCAAGAATGGACAACTTCTATGTGTTTTAGCCCTGGCTATGTGTGCTCAACAGTTTCCAAGGTGACTTTTCAAATTGCACAGAGACTATCCATGGATAATTCATTACCTGCAACCCCTCTATAAGCTCTAATAGGCAGCAAATTTCATCATGTCACACTCAGGGAAACAAGAGCAGCTGCCATCCCAAAATTAAAGTAATTAAGAGCTGCAAGACTTTAAAATAAATCATAAGGAAAGTTAATCTTAAAAGATGTGATTCACATCATGCCTCATTCAATATTAAAATATACATTTAAATGCTAATTTTCAGGTGCTGTTTTTGTATTTTCTTTTTTTTCTAATCATAGAACAATTAGAGATGTCCTAATATTAAAACGGTATTTGTTTAAAATATTAAAACACACAATATCTGCTTATAGTGCATTTTTTTTTTATTTATGCTTTTGACATCGCGGTTGACACCTAAGCATTTAGTCTAAATGTGTTTGTTGATGTACATCATGACAACGCTGCAATAAAAAGCCACATTCTCAGCGAAATGTCGATGAGGCTATTGATAAATTGCCTGATGGGTCATCACTTGATGCTGATGGCTTGAGGAAAGATGAGAGATCAGCAACCAGATCTCCATCCGTCTCCTACTAATAACGACGGGCTCGGTGATAAACATCGACACTCATCTGGCGAGGAGACCTTTGTCCGGTGGTGCCATATTTCGGGGTGGATTCTGACTAAGAGAGCGCCTAAATACATCATTGTGATGATTCAGCATGATAAAAATATCGCGCCTCCGAGTTGGGATTTTAAAATGAAACAATATTGATGAGGGACGCAAAACCGACTGGTCTGATTTGACGATCGTTTCAAATAGTAGTGAAATGAATTAAGATCACTCCAAGTGAAGCAATTCAGCACGAAAAGGATGGAAGCGATTTCCTGGAAGATCAAATTCGTGCACATACAAAAGCGACATCGTCGCCCTGTGATTTACAATAATCGCGTTCGCTTCTGACCAAAAATGTCACAAAAGGACACTGCAACCAACCTGATCTGGCAACACCGCTGGCTGGCTCGGCTGCCGCTCGTTCCTTCGCACAACGAGGTGATGAAGCAGCAGGTTTGACCAGCGAGAAGCGCATGAGTTGACAAACCCCACAGAGAGGCGCTCGGACACGGTGGGCAAGCAAAGCACACCGGGCGTAATAACACAGAGCAAACTAATTATGGCAAAGGGGAACCTGCACAGGTTACACGCTGGTTACACGCTCCTGACATTCCGCGACTCAACCCCTCGGCGCCCCGCTCGTGTGAAAGTGGCAAACAACTCCCCGCCTACAAAAACAAGCAAGCAAGCAACGCGATGCAAGCAAGCGAGGAAATCCCCGTGCCTCTGTCTGCACATTACAACTGTGGCACCGAGCCATTCCTCGCGGGATGGGAATTGGCCACCAGGTGTGAAACGGATGGCAAATCCCGCTGCACCAGCACTAAAATCTGAATGTTTTTCCCTTTATTGGCATTTTACGAGCGTACAAAAGATTAGCCCTGCATAGTAAGAGCACAACCTCGTCCGCTAAGTCCTATATAACGTACCAGGTTTGAACTTTCAAAATAAACCCCCTAGTAAGAAGATAAACACGTGTCTTAAAGGGTCGAGTGCAGCGGACGCTTTAGTTTGAAAACCGTTTGTGGGAGCTAATATTGTTAGCTTGACGAGCTAACTGTGCTAATACATCTCTGCACACTCAGCACAACAGCGAGTCGCTTCTCTTTCTAGACTCACCTGGATTTAAAACGATGTAGCTCCCTGAAGTCAGAGCTGCCAAACTCCTCTTCTCAAACCGCGGTGAGGAAGAGCGAGCATTACAAATAAATATGTATTTGGTTTTAGCAACAAAAAAAAATAATAAGCGACTTCCAGATATCAGCTCGTGCGCTCCTTGTTGATTGCTTTCTTGTACCAAAGCCAGACGTCATCGTGTTTGGTCACGTGTCTCCATTCATGAAAGGTCTTTTTTCCTCAAAAGAAAAGCAAACATTTCACAAATAACAATAAAAAAACACTGCACCTATTGTTATTATTGAACACTGCTTACATTTGCTGTACCTACATAAACAGAGACTGCAAATGTACTTTAAATCGAGCAGAAAGCAGCATTTGACAGAACTATTGTAATAATTAAAATATTACATTTTTTAAAAAAAGTATTTTTGTTTCTTCCAACGATAAAATTAACACAATTTTCCCTCTTAATGGCTTTTCTGTTGCTTATTAAGGCCATTTTGTAGGAGGTGGTTGAGTTGGATAATATCACAAGTATCAAAGTAAACTGCGCATTACATTGTTGAATTTTTTATTGAAGCATTCTCCACCAACTTCACACCCATTACTTGGGTGTTGGGCAATCCCAATGTATTACATACATTTTGCCATTGTAAAGTGATGAAATGTGAAAACGTACTGGGGTTATCTATATTTTGGTAAGGCATTGCTAAAACAAGCAGACAAGATCATCTTACTTGGGAATGAAAATATGTTAAAATTCATAAAACATTGTGATAATACAAAGACATTTACTTATGTTTTTTTTTTCTTATTTGCAAGCACATATAAGGACCTAAACAAATGGATGAAAAAAAAAAGTGCCCTTACTTCCTCTTTTTAAAACAGGCCATAATAATAGTCTTTAGGTATCTGATTATAAAATTCTAAAGTGCCATCTAATTTGTTACAACTAAACCTTGTACCAAATCTTTACACAAAAAATTCTAATACTTATTTTTTTTTTTTAGAAAAATAGCAAAAATAAACCTTCTGCCCTCACATTAAATATATAAAAAGTTAAACATGACAATTTCTGTAGGGCAAAGAACTCAGTAGCATCAAACCCAAAGGGATTGTCAAGTTTCCACACAATGTCAAATTAAAGGGTTCGACTATATTTTGTCAATTCCGAAAAATCAAACTTCCCACATAAATAATTATTCACATAATTTTCCTTTAATATAGTCAAAATTTGATTTAATCTCCCTGAAGTGACCACTGCTCTACAGTGTTAAATGTTATGGGTTCATGTTCGCAAACAGCAGTCAATAGTGGTTTCTCGTCAGTGTATATACAGAACGGGGTATTTCAAAAAAGACTCAGTTTTTCTTTATCCTGGGATTGGTGTTGTTAAAAATACTGATTCCACGAGTTCTGACACTGACAGCATCTGCAGTGACGCCTGGCTGCTGAAGAACTTTATCCAGAGTCGTTTTCTTTATCGCAGCTCGGGAGATCTTCTCTTGGTCAGCCAAAAACTGAAGCTCCCTTTTTAAAAGATACACATAAAGCATAAGAAAAACAGAATATATAGCTTTCATTGCAGCATGAAATCAGGTACTTTAAAATCCGGAAAACTAAGAACATTAAGAAATCTTTGAAATATGTCTGCATAACAGCTCCATCTACTGTCTGAAGTTCATATTTAGTTTAAAATCAATTTACATTAAAAATAGTTAAGAATTGCATTTTTGTTAGGTACCAATAGAAAATTCTTTCCACTTCATTTGATCAGCTTACCTTGTTCTTACACAAGAGGCCTCAACTGCATTTATGAGGAGGCTTCGGAAGCCACCACTCTCCATGACGTGAAGGGCGTGGATGGTGGCGCCCCCTGGTGAGCAAACATTGTCTTTAAGCTGTCCAGGGTGTTGCTCTGAGTCCAACAACATGCGAGCTGCTCCCTTTAGAGTAGCATAAAGAAGGAAATTATATAAAGACCAATGTTTTTTTTCTGTATCATTATTCAGCACCTGAATAATGATACTGAGCATCCAGATTCTGTCTGCTGTCAACCAAGATGGGCTTAATTTATCTCCACTGGAATGAAAATGTGCCTAAATAAATACCATGACTGTCTTTTGCTTGCAGTTTCCAGCCAGAAGGTTGGAATTCATGTTTAAAATTTTCAGTTTTATATAACAAAGAAACAAGACCCCCCCCAAAAAAATTATAAATTTAAATCCCAAGAATTAAATTAGATTAAATCTAAAAAAAAACGAATATAGATAAATCATACACAAACATGTACAACAACGGCCAGTTCACACGAACAAGTGCAAAGTAAAAAAAAAAGATCATATTATAGTTTGGAGAATCATTATGCTAAAACCATTTCCTATATCTTAAGCTTACATGTGTGAATGCTCAGGCAAAGTAAAGATACCATAAATTTCATTGTTATTCACTAATCCAAAGAAGAAGCAGCATTAAGTTCCTCTTTACTACTTCCATAGATATGAAAAGACATGAAGTAGCCCAGAGTGTCTTTCAAGCTGTTCCTGCATCAAAGCTCTGGCTCTTTGCTTAACACTGCAGTCATGATGGGAAGTCTTTTTTCTGGGATCATTTGTAATGTCAATCATCTCTGACTAGCTTCGCAGTCAATATTAAAGGAATGTATCCCCATAGAATGATGGAGCCACCACCATGCTTCATTGTCTGTTCAGAGTAATGTGCAGTGTAAGTTTTCTACCACATAATATGTATTGTATTTTACATTTCTCTGTCATCTAACCACAGAACCCTCTACACATCGTCTCCATTAAGCAACACTTTTTTGCGTTTTCTTTCAACGACAGCTTTCTTTTCTCCATACTTCCATATAGCAATTCTCCTGACAATAGATTTGTCCCCCAGCTCCTCCGGAGAACAGGGCATCCTGCTGACATCTCTGATCACTTAATTAGTACTTCTAAAGGCAATTGGTTGCACTAGATTTTATTTAGGGTGTCAAAGTAAAGGTGGATGGATACACTTAATGGACACCACAAATTTCAAATTTGTATTTGGGAAACAAATTTAAAAACATGCTGTTCAACCATTTCAAAATTATGCAAAACTATGTGTTGTCCTATCCAATAAAATTAAAATTTTTGTGGTGATAGAATGACAAAATGTTTAAAAACTTATGAACATCATTGCAAGGAACTGCATAATCAAATGTAGCATAGCTATATAAGAACATTTTAAAGAATTATTCTATTATGATTGCTTTGTTAACAGAAGGAAAATAGTCAAGGTGCTAAGGTCACCCTATGGATCAATGGTGCAATGCTCAGAGTGACTGCATAAAATCCAAGAACTACATATCAGAAAGTTTATTTATAGTTAAAGATTATGAGAATTAAACAAAACAAAAACAATAAAAAAGTGTGTCCCGTTGTTTAACAAAATAAATAAATAAAATTACTAGCATTTAGGTATAAATTTTGGACCAAACTCTGCCATCGACTTTATTGTCAAATATGAGGGTCCTACCAGCAGGGCTTGTGCACCGAGGCGTACTGCCAACCTCCTGGGCAGGCCCATTTTTACTCCACCATCAGCAAGGGCATCCACAGCTAGGAATGCCTGCAAGACAACAATTATGCAATTACAGTGATAGAAAAGAGGTAACTATCCAATAATAATCGTATAAGCGGTAAGGCAGCATTTCCTAAATGCTGTTAAGCAAAGCAAGCTCACATAGGCGGGTCCACTGCCGCTCAGGCCTGTGACGGCATCGATCAGGTCCTCCTCCACCTCAGTGCAGTAGCCAACGCTAGCCATCAGCTGTTCCAAAAGTTTCCCATCCTCCACCTCTGCATGTGTACCTGTTGCGTAGACGGTGGCCCCTTCACGCACCACTACTGGAGTGTTGGTCATGCAGCGCATCACCTTTGGAGAAGTACGATACTGCTGCAGTTTCTGTGAAGCGGCAACAACAACATCTTCAAGGACCTGTTGTCTTAATCACATGCGAAGAAGAAATAAATGCAACGGCTAAGACTTGCCTTCTCTATGGAGCTGATAGTCACACCCGCAGCACAGGACACAATAAGGTGGCGGTCTTCGATATCTGGCCCAATCTCATCAAGAACAAAGGGGATGATGTGGGGCTTCACGGCCAGGAAGAGGACATCACTTCTGCTGACCGTCTCCTTGTTGCTGGTGGTAAAGTTCACACCCATTTTCTATAAATACAGAAGTTGTATACAAATTAGTTCAATGCAAATATACTTGTTGAATATACAGAACTGTTCAAATCCAAAATTAATAGGCTGTGACATTCATGGACATGACAAATGTATGTATATATGAACCCACCCGCAGCTGCTGCACTGTGGGAAGTTCAGTGTCTGGAGAGCTCGCTGTGATTCTGTGGGTGGCAATCACGCCTTGGAGGGGGAAAATGTCCAGAAACAACTTCAGTGTCTGATTGCAATCTTCATATGTCAAAAATACAAGTCAAAACCGATTAAAACACAAATGTAAAAGTCTAAATTTACCTGCAACCGAGAAGCCTCTCACCAAAGCCTGCGCCAGCTGGCCAGCTCCTATGAATCCGACGCTCATTATGCCTGAAAATAGAATAAATTTAATGTTGCATCATACACCGTGTTTATTTGTTTCGCCTGTTTTTCGTTTCTTCCTGAGTACGTAGTAAACAAACCCTGACTTCCTTGTTATCCGAACGCATTACGTCTCATAATGTGTAAAATCACATTTTTGACAAATCGCATATTTAAAGCAAAACACAGACTTACAAATGAGGAGGATTCTTCGAATTAGCAATGTAGCTACAAAACGATATGATTACACAGCCAACGTGTTTCGGCTTCCTCTCCACGTCCTTGTCGCTGCCTGTAAAAATACCAGGCATTGGGCAGATGTAATCAGCCAATGAGGGTGTACCTTTGGGTATACGTAAGTCGTGTAACCAATCAATAACCTTAATGGGCGGGACCTGGAAAGATGAAGAACCAGTTGTGTCGGTACATCAGATCCCTTGACCCAGATATTGAAGAACCATACAAAATTAGTCGAGAGAACGGTATTTGTCGTGATTCCTCATGCGTTGACAACACCAAACATGCCAAAAGTCACTTGTTCTGTTCTCAATGTGTGCCCCAACATGTTATGTTAATAATATTTGTAGAGTGGAGAGACTCCATTGTGTGTCAAACCAAACATCCAATATCCAAAGATCAACACGGTGTTGACTGTGGTTATATCTTGTACTCAGAGAAAAATCCAAAATATGGAAGTTGTATTTTACAGTTTGTTTATCAAGTTTGGGTAACAACAAACAAAGATCCATCTTATTGTTTATTGCTTCTTCTATTGGAATAAGAAACAAAAACAACATAGACAAAAAAATACCAAAAAGACAAACTCCTTTTGTGTGCAGGTGCACCCTGATTGCAAAATTCTCTGCCATTATTTTTTACATGTGTCAATTCCGCTGATTACCATTATTGCAGCAAAAAATCTATTTCTGCAGACAGGCTTTTAATTTAATTTGATGTTATTTTTCATGTGTTTTCCCTACATGTTTTGTGAAGCACTTAGTGAGTTTCATTTGTGAAAGTTGCTAAGCAAAGACAATTTTACACACTTCTACTTACATACTTGCAAGAACCACCTTCAAAGTATTTATGTAAGTCTCTACAAACAAAATCCATGAAAAATATAAATGAAGGTTATGATGGTATAAACAAATGACAATCTAGCAGGTTAAAATGCTTGTAACAGAACATAAATATAATCTTTTAGAAATCAAGTAAAAGTCCGCCTGAAAAATTGTACGCTTCTTCAGATAAAAAAAGAGATGCAAAACTAAGCATGGTCTGTATTTGGGCATTTTATTGAACACTGGAAATACTAAAAAACATTTGGAAATAAAGAATGCCACATTCATTCAGTGCTAAAACATTGGTTATGTATTGTAACCCCAGACCTTATGAGAATAGGTGCAGCGCTTTAACCCACTAGCAATAGCCTTAAATGGCAAAGTCTATACGAAATAGAACTGTAATGTAGATAGAAAGCAATTAAATACTCAAGTTAGGTTACATCAGATAGGATTTAAAATGTATCAGATACATTTACATTTCTGTACGAAATTGCATCCACCAATTATATAATGCAATAAGAAGAGAAAAACAAAACATAAAGAGAAAATTCTTGAATATTAAAACCAATATCCAGTCTACACAGTAGACCTGACATATTAGACAAATCTCTAAGATATATTTAACCTGTTCAAGTCTTTAAAACAATAAATAAGCTGCTAAGTATGTATATTGTAATGTATATTTATGGGACCAAATAGCGGCAAATGGAGAAAGCAACATGCTTAATACTGTCTAGTATTTTTAAGGTTTTTGGTATATAACACTATTAAGCTATGGATCAAATATTCTTCACAGAAACTGGAGTAAAAAATTCTTTTCATTTTTCAGACAGCAGAGCTGGAGACAAATCGAATCCTCTGAGAGTAAACAAGGTCAATAAAATATAACACAAGGTTGACACAGGTGAAAACTGCCACAACCAGCTTACTGTCCCAAGAACATTCTCCCCGGGGACAATCCTCAGGACGAGCAGTGCTGCCGTACTTTTTATCAAAGCTGAAGATGGACCAGATCAGTGCGGTACTGAGGTAGAGGATCACAGCAAAGAATGTGTAGATGACCACAAAGCGGTCAAACGGGAACCTCAGTGCGGCGGTTCTTCCGGACACTGTCACTATGATGACGATCACTGTGACAGAGAAACAGAGGCTGTACACCACCACGCAGTATTGGGTGGCAATATACTGGTTGTATTCGCTGTCATTAGCAAGAGCCCCAAAAATGATGCAGGCCACAAATCCCTGGACCACCTTGAGCAGACCAGACACAGTGGCCATGTAGCCCACCACAGCTCCTGGTTTTGCTCTGGTCAAGAATACTTCCACTCCGTATGGGAAACAGCAAACACTGGAACAGACGGTTACGGAAATGCGGTAGATTTGTACTTCGTAGTTCTCGTCAGAGTTTTCTGTTTGGAGAAAGTATACTGGGTAGACCACAGAGGCAGTGATGTACATCAGTGTTGCTAACATGGCGAAGGCGACAGTGAAGTTGTCCCAAGAAATTGGCATGCAGCTGTGGAGCCGCGTGATGTCCAAGGTGAAAACAAGCAGTGTGACGGTGAAGCTGAAGCACCAAACAAACATACAGAAGGTCCCATAGTTTGCACTGTAACCTGCGCTGTGGGACACCAGGGCAATTATGGTACATCCAAGCACCAGCTGGCATATTCGGGCTGCACCCAAAGGTGACAACACAGCGTCTTTGTTGAGGTAGTGTCCCCCATGTGGATCCATAACGCTGCTAGGTTTATGAAGTTCAGATGTCTTCCTTTGGGATATTCTTGATCTCAGTGTTGGTGTTCTTACGGCCTACTCCCCTCTTTCACACGGACCTCACCCTTTCCTGGTTTGCTCGTAAAGATGACCACTAATTACAAATGTCTGAACTTGCTTTGTAATTAGAAAAGCTTGCTTGAGATCAGGTTACATTTACAGACAGATATGTAGAGGTTTCTCAGGAAGACTTCACAATCAGATTTTTAAAAACAATTTTGGAAAGTTTCTTCTTTACCACACAACTCATTAAATTGCATTCATCTTCAGTGCTGAAAACTCACTTAATAAGGCAATAAATTCCTTTTGTCAGTATTGGTACAGTAGAAGTCCATTAGAGTATATTCTTTTCTTGCTTACTGTCTTCCTTTGTTGTTGTCCAATGTAGTAGAAGTTTCTGTTCTCATTGAATTCCTTTAAGAGTTGTATCCAGATTTAGGTCTTCAGCAATAGCTATTTATGATAAGAGGTGGACAAGTTGTTGTCCTACCGATCAAGGCCTTTAATTGTCCATCAGATTCGATCTTGTTCTTCTGCTTGCTCTTCCTTCAGCCTCTCTTGGATTCGGTTTTTTAATTTTCTCTACCTGATGAGGCACATCCTGTTCCTCCCTGTCTGAGTGTCACTGTGCACTTGGTGGACTGCTAGGGGTGACTGTTTAAATGAAAAGTTTGTGAAGAGCCCAGGCTCACCAGGCCTTTGCCAGCTCTATAAATAGGGGGTCTATATTCCACAGAGGGCGGGAGGCTACATGCGGCTGGCACCCTCGGAGTCGTATTTCTGGAGAGGCTGACTCAGTGCTCCCTTCAGTATAAGAGACTGACATTTACATGGAGTGTAATGACAGGGAGGGAGGTTAAAAACTTCCATTAAAGACATAAATTACACATGAGTTGAGAGAGATGATTATACACGAGTGATAGCAAATTTAGCCTAAACACGTGAGAGGGAGGCGGCATTTCCAGAACAAAGCTTCAACATGTAGGATCAGTGTTCTCTTATTTTTGATTTATGAACCAAAGAATGTTTTTTACTGGGAAAACTACCCCAAAATCTTTTTCATAGCTGTTGATGATTACCAATGCATCTTGATCCATTGCAACTCTACAATATAGACAATATTAAATCAAGATAGCTTAGAAAGCACAATCTGGGGCATTTTGAAACACCCACAAATTTCATAAGTGAAAAAAATTCGCTGGGATAAAAAACCTGTTATGGCTCCTTTAAGCCTGGTAAAAACAAGCCTTTTGTCTTGTGATATTTGCTTTGTACAGAGGGTCAGGGATGTTGGCTATTGAGAAACGATTGCTTCCGGGAGGTGTGGACTGTGTTTAGGTTTTAAATTTGATTGAATTGCTAATGTTTGTTCAAAATGTAAAATACGCCAGTTCTATGCTAAGAAACTTATTGCAAATTGCTTGAGCCGTAAACAACCACCCTGCACTGCAAATACAGTTATATTATTAATTCAATATTTGGAAGTGCGGCCAGCACGGACTGAACAGCTTCAATCACTTCCTCTGGTGCTATTCCTAAAACAGAGCAGAAAATCAATGTTAGCTTTTACAACTTCTGCTCGCTGATTGGCACCGTGGACAATCTACTGGAAACAATCTATGTCAAAGGAAGAAAGCCAGACTGTGCTGTAAGCGAGATTTTTTTTTTCCAAGTGGTGTTGCACAAGAAGGCCAAGCTAGGCTCTTCTGGGGGTTGCTCAAAACTGAAAAAATGCCTCAGGTAAAGCTTGTGGTTCCAGACCAGCCTGGAAAATCTGGAATGTTATGGTGTTTTTGACCATTTCCAGATCAATATATAGAAAAATATGCGTTTCAAGTTTTTTTCCTCTCTGTCCATCCATTCAGGTGAATTATCCAAAGAAAATGGAGGGAGATATCTTTGACGATCCCAATTATTTTGTTTCTTCTTCCTTCAAAGAAGTCAGCAAATAACTATCTTAGCCACTCTACAACTTGTTACTAGTGATCATTATAACATGCAAATAATAAAGAGACTGCTCAGCAATGTTCACCTTATAGTATATGTAATGTCTTCCTTTTTGGGTGTGATACAAAGACATGCAATCAGCACAAAGCAAAGAACAGCAATGTATTTACAATTTACAAAGAATCACTTCTCTGTAAAAAAAAAAAAAAAAAGCACTTATAAATATGATTTACATAACAAAATAAATATGTAAAAGTTACCAATGTAGCTTGAGTTACTTTTTTGTTAAAAAAAAATATGTTACAGAATAAAATTACAATTAGTAATACTTCTCCTTTTTTTCCGGTATGATGAAAAATAGAGGTCCTTTACAAGCATATTTTATAAAGTCATCATTACATACAAACAATGTCATTATATTAAAACGTGATCTCTATGATAAAATAAAAGAAGGGAATTACAATGGTGAACACTTCCAAATAATCTATACAAATACTCATAAAATATACAATACACAACATTTGTCTCCCTTTAAATGTTCATCGTGCATTGAGTTTGATGACTGTTGAGCTGTAGGGAGTTGACCTGACATAAGTGTGTGTCCTGTGATGAAGACACAGTCCGTAAGAAAGAGGTATGGATGTAATGGCACTATAATATTTATGTGTAGCTGTTTGTGACTTGTTTCCAGATCCACCTTAGCACCATTTATGATTAGAGCTATAATATATTGCTATATCTTCAACTGCAAAAATTTGAATGTCCGATTTCAACTAGGTGTAGACCAGTTTCAGGTATCAAGGCATATCAATATTTTATCAAATTATCATTTCAAAATCAGCAAAATGTTTCATTATAAAGTTCCTACAGTTTAAATGACATGCCAGAGCCAGTGGCATGTGGTTGAAGATTTCTCTGACTGCATGGAGATTGGAGAAAACCGATTGCTTGCAAAATCACAGAGAGTCATGCTGTGTAAATAAAAAGAAGCATCACCCATTCCTTTTGTTCAAGGTGACATTATTTTAACACTATAGTTGGCAACTCAAGAGCAGCATGATTGAAGGCAGCTGACTACAAACTAGCCACATGAGCAGATACCTGAACTGATTAACCAGTCATTTATTTTTCAGGTTATCATAATGAAAAACCTCTTATCATGTGTCAGTGATGGTCTGCAATTTATAAAAATATATTTCAATGGGAAATGGGAGAGGGCATTAATCTTTTGGAACAGATTTCTCAAGTTACTCTGTGTTTTTGCTTGGTATCAGTCAAAATAATTTCTATAAACAAATTTCATAGATATAGCAATGAAAACTGTTATAATGATAATAGATCATTTTAGCAGCAATTGAAATAAATGTTGCTCCCTGTTTTAATTGAAATCAATTTGATCATGACCGTTTTGCTGAAACATGATCATATCGTAAAAGTCTCAATCAAACTCATGTGAAATTCCAACTTTTGCTTATTTTCATAATCATCGCAATGTTTAGTGCAGATGCTATCTGACAATTTATTTTTATTTGGGTATCTAAAATAAAGGCAGCTTACTTTCTTTTTTACTTTTAAGAGCTTTACTGACTGTGCTTTTCTATAACGTTTTACACTGTTTCTGATAAACACATGACCCAATGTGTTTTTCTGTTAGAAATTATACAAATACATCTCTAATACACGAGAGGTAATAGGACTTTTTCTGTAATCAACACTATCGACTACTTAAAATGTAAAACAGCATTTGTTGTACCAGTATTGCGTTCACTAAATCTATTCAGTACAAAAGGATGACAGCACTAAAGACATAAAGTCAGTTAGCATCTTTAAAACTGGATTACATTCATGTTATAGTTGTTTTTCTTTTTTTTTTTTTTTTGCTTTTAAAAAAATAAAATATAATTTATTGTAGCATTTATATTAGCAAGAAGTGGTGCCTGGTCATGGTGGAGGCTGGTGTGTTAGACCTGACTTCAGGGTCAAACTGAAGCACCTGGGATGGAAGGAGGTCTGAAGCAACAGAAGGGGAACTGCAGTAAGGAAGGTGAGCAGAGGTATCAGTTATGGGAGACAGGCCAGAAAGATCATCCAGTCCTGCTTGGTTCTAGCTTAAAACTGGTTGGTGTGCCCCTTTTAGCTGCCACTGCTCAGCATGCCCAGTAATTTGCTCGGGTCCATGCCTTGCTGCTGGGCCATCTTCTGCACGTCGAACCCCATGTGCATGAGAAACTGCACGACACTCATCTCTTGCCCTGTGAATTGGTCCCGGATGGTCGGGCAGGTGGGGTTGCAGTGAGGCCAGGGGCAGTTATCAATCAGATGCACAGGACAAGCTTTGGGCGGTGGCTTGTTGTTCCGGCTGTCATGGAGGCTGCGATCCCAGCAGTGAAGGGCTCGGGGTAGAGAGGTCCCTTTGACTTGCACGTCGATCCAGTAGCTGAATCACAACACAAGAGGGCGCTGTTAGCTCACAGTAGAAAAACAATACACGAGAAGTCCCCCAGGATGCTAAATTTCACTCACTTTCTGGTGATAATTTCATGTGATAAACATGCTGGAGCAAACATAGCCCTGAATAAAAGAAGACATGATAAATAATGAGTAAATAAATATATATATATATTTAAATTCTCGTTCTAAATTGCAAGAATGCAGGCTTACGGGACATCTTTGAGTGTGTTCCTCAGCTCTATGCCTAGATTCTGGATGTAGCGCCACTGGCCTTCCTGCACAGGTTGACCTGTTAGCTGGATGTTGTCCACTGTCAATTGAGCCTCATCAAACAGCCACTGGACCACAAACACTGGACCTGCATAGAGATTAAAACAAAAAGAGAGAGAGAAAAAAAGGTAAATTAATTTAAAATGTTGTAAACCTTAAAAATAAATGTGGATACAGGCATTTTAGTAAAATAAAAATAATTCAAACAGAGCCAGTCCATGTTTTGAACAGGTTTTCATTTTAGGACTTGTGTCCAGAGGAATCCAACTTTTTTTCTTATTAATGAATCTCCTTTTTGCTTTTACATTTATTTAGCTTTCTTTATATTTTGCTTTATATTCAATACAGTCTCTCTTCACTCAGGCAAGACGAGCTAAGTTCATTGTTATGTTCACCAGAAAGTATGAAAGAACGTTTCTATAATTGATCATTTTGCCACTTTGCAAATGTGTGCCTTTGCAGCGTAGGAAGAAATTGAACTATCTTCCACAAGACCTTTATACTAATCAGGCAACATTTTATACCCACCAGAGAGAGCTGCTTTCTAACTGAGGAGCTAAAGTAACTTCACAGATTCTGTATATTGTAGTAATATAGCGCCAATTAATAATACATACCAGTCGGCAGTTACTTTGGTTTGGTCTGAGGTCATCATTGGATATATTTCATATCAGTGAAGTGTGAAAGGCCATTGTGAGGGTCACAATTAAATGTGAGATTTTAGCATTTCTATGGTTATTTGTCTGAACAATTTATAATATATAAAAAAACAACTTAATTACAAAGAGAAATAAACTGATACTCATTTTTTTTTTGTTTATGGGTAGGAAGCAATATGTTTATGGCTACACAATAGAAGAAGAAAAGGACAAAATTACATAGCATACACACACACTGTGGAAAGTAATAAAAAATATTACTAACTGATGTACTTATGATCAAAAATGTGCCGCTGGCTTAGATACAAGATTCAATCATCAATACAGTTTTGAATTATGACTCTGCTGTAA